AACCCCTGATGCCTGCTGTTTATCCAATGATATGCATAATCCTTCCTCGTCAGGGGGTCTAGACTCTATAGTAATGTAAGTGACATATTTAATGCTCAGGAACATTGCAGGCTTCTAAAGATATTCAGAGTCCTCTTTGGCTTTACTAATGAAATATTGACTAGGATCTTCTTTGATCTTTTTGAAATATGTTTTCGTTACCCTTAAGCAGCACGACAGAGTGAGTTAACATGTATTAGACTTTTTCTACTATATAAAGAAATATGGGATAAATTATCACTCAGGGTCAATGCCCTACCAAATGTAGTTGAAAGCAGCCAATGGAGCGCAGGCCGTGATTCTGACTCACAATGGGAGCAGGAGCTATGATGGCCATACAAAACCAGAAGCCGGAATTTATCCTTTCGTAAAATGCTCAAAGATGAGGAGTTGTGTTGATAGTCCCAAGAAAATGAAAATTTGACATATCATTTCTCAACCCATTCTCTGATACTAAACCATGCAAAGATACTAGTAAAAAAGAAAACTAAAGACCAATATCCCTCACTCATGAACACAAAAAAGTCATAGCAACTCTAACCTGGCTTTGTACAAAATGGGCAAAATACCATGACCAAATGAACATTAATATAGACTTACAATAGGGTTGCATATTTGCAATTAATCAATGTAATTATCATATTACTAAAAAAATCCTATTATCATCTTTGTAGATACATAAAAAGCTTCTGAGCAAAGCTTTGTCATCCATGACAAGAATTGTCAGTAAGCACGGAACAGAAACAAATTTTCTCAAACTCGTAAAGCCAATGTAGAAAAACTTAGTTAATAGGCAATGATACTATAATCTCAGAACATTTTTTAAAAGAAAAACATCTGTACTATCACACAAGAAAACTCAGTAAATCACGTAGATTGGAAAGGAAGATGAAAAACTGTTTGCCTGTGCTGACACAATTGCCTGCACAGAAAATCAATAGAATTGGCAGCGGAATAAAGTCACATGGCAAGGTTCACATATAAAAGGTCTTAAAGCCAAATTCAATTATATTTCTACACTTAACGAAAATAATTGGGAATTGAAATTATATTTTAAAAATAGCATTTACAATAGTATCAAAAATAGCAACGAATCTAACAAAACATATGTGCAACGTATTTAATATGAACCATTAAGCATTGATCAAATTTAACATCTAAAGCCATGGAAAAATATACCATGTACATAAATCTTTAGGCGCAATAATGTTGTCAAGTCTCTCTAAATTATTTTACCGATTTAGCATAACCATGTAAAAATTCCAGTGAAGTCTCTTTGTACAAATAAATCTCAGTATCCTTGGTTGTAGAAGATTAAAGGTAACTACTAAAAGAACATTTGTAATTTCCAAATCAATAGAAATGATTAGTGAAACATTAAAACAAATCTCAACTCCAAAGATGTTTGGAAAAGAGACCTCGCAAAGGAAATAATCAACGCTTAAAAGAGTCGATACAAGCTTAAACAGTTAAAGTAAATTTGAATATACTGGCAGTTCAAGAAAGATCTATAGATTCCACTTAGCTGTTCAAAGTCAATAATTCTCATATTGGGTTTGAAAAAGCAAACTCCAGCAATTTAATTTTTCAAGGAATTATTAAAACATGACCACAAAGAATGTTTGAAAGTGGAGGAGACAAAGCAACTGTAAATCAGACTATGATGGAAATAATCATAGCCGCAAAACTTGATTCTTTTCTAAATAAAAAATGCTATGTAAATAAACTAGTAATATAAACTATAATTATATTAACACAGTACTCATTTCAGGTTAACATGTGTGACAGTTATTTACTTATAATAAAATTTACTCAGGAAAATATGACAATAGTGCTTTCTGTTACTCCGAGTAATTTCCTAGGGGGACAGAATCATCCACTTTGCATATGTGTCTACCAGCTGTGTGCAGAAGCCGAGCTTGATAGACCCAGAATGAGGAACTGAAGAGAGACAGATGACAGTGGCTCGTGGAACGGCCTCACCATATGCTCAATGTGTGGGGTTCAGTGACATGCATTCAATCTTGCGGGCAGTGTCAAAGGTGAGCACTTTCTGAGCATAAAGGGAACATTTAGAACTGAGCCCCAACATAAATCCCAACAAATGTAAGAGATTGACTGAGCGCACCCTCACTTTACTGAGATAAAGTTAGAAATAAAATATTAATTAAAAACTGATTTCCTGTTGAAGAGCCATGGCACACACCTTTAATTCCAGCACTCAGAAGGCAGAGGCAGGCAGAGCTCTGATGGCAAGATCAGCCTGGTCTACAGAGTGAGTTCCAGGACAGTCACGGCTACCCAGAAAAATCCTGCCTTGAAAAACCAAAATAATAATAATGATAATAGTAAGAAGGAGAAAATAAAATCTGATTTTTTAAAGTCTAAGAGAAATATGAGACACTGGGAAATTATTACATTTCTCAAGGTTTTGTGTATACGTATGAAATTTATTTCCCCATCACTGATTAAATTGCTTTGGATAAAAATGAAGTCCAGAATTTCAGCTTCCCTGGTGTTTATTCATTCTTTTAAAAGATGAAATTATAGGTAAAGGCCCGCCAAAATTTTATCAAATGTTCTGCTTCAGCTGGATAATACTTCTACCACATGTCTACATGATTAAAATATTTCAGTGCTATTACATCAGTTTAGTAATCTGTATTAAGAAAATATTTAAAAATAAACTATTTCTCACATGGCCAGTCCGGCCAAGCTGTCTGTGCCATGCTGCTCAGACATGGCTGCCTCCGTCTCTAGAACTTCTCTTTGTCTGATCTCCGTTCCCCACGGGTTCTCCTTCTGTACCCCATGCCCGCTGCCTCCTCAATGTCTTTCAAGGTGTCTCAGTCCATTCCCTTTAGTATTCCTTATATATTCTTCAAATAACTCCCCCCCCCTTTTTTTTTTTGCCACTTTCAGTCAACTTTTATACCAATACCAAAGCCTGTCATTTTCTTTTCAGCAAAGAATTTTGGGGTACCTTTTACATTTTGGGGGTACTTTTGTATTTATTTAATGTCATGTGTACACATGCCTGAGTGGACGTATGTGCACCACTTGTGTGCAAGGGTCCATGGAGGCTAGATGACGGAATTAGATCCCCTGGAACTGAGTTACAGACAGTTGTGAGCCACTGATGTGGGTGCTGGGAACCAAACCTCTGTCCTCTGCAAGATCACCAAGTGCTCCTAACCCCTAAGCCCTCTCTCCAGCCCCACTAGGATCCCCCTTCTTATTATGTTTTGTCATTCTAAGGACACATTACCCCATAGGATATACAAGATATACTTTTGCTAGTTTTTATTAGATAATTTCGGGTTCAGTTTTGCTTTTTTTTTTTTTAAATCCTGTCTCCACTATTTTAAGGGTCTTTTAAAAATAAATGCTCCACTTCTCTTTGCTCTAGTTTTGTCTATAAAATGGCAGTAATATTAGTACCTGTTTCACAAGATTGCCTTAAGAGTTTAATTAGTGAAGACTTTGCAAATGCTGAGGCCAGTCTACAGTCAGAGCTTAATAAGAATTAGCTGCTATTAAAGCAATTTGCTCTTAAAATTTGATTTATGACTCTCTTGATTTCTTTTGTGAATCTTTTGCCAAATACATTCCTGCCGGACTTTTTATGGCATCATCTGTCCCCTGCTTTCTGGTTCACAGTCCAGGAAAGTGAACTACTTTTTGACACCATTGGCAAGGCTGTCTGCTTACTTTGCACAGTCGGAATGAGACAAGAGCAGAGTTTTTGGGTTTTTTTCGAAATCTGTTCCTAAATTGTTCCTTCTGCCCAGCACCTCAATCAAGAGAAATTGGTAGAAATTCTTCTCACACCTTTTCTGACTTTATCTAGCTTTCTCTATAATGAATTGGCAGACATGGGTGGGCTCAAGTTACAGCATTCACAGCCAAGGTGGCTTCCAGCATCCTCAGAGCAGCGAGTCATCAGCCAACATGGCCCCCAAGTTTTGGGCAAGTGCCAGCTGCTTCTGACATGATAACACTTGGGAAGCTCTAGTGTTCCCGTCTTCAAAATCAAACCAAATAAAGGTCCTTGTTACTCATCTATTTTCCTCCCTCCCTCCTTTAAAAATTTTTTTTCCTAAATGTTTCTTCTACTCTTCCAAGGACAGCATTATCTCCTTTAGAGTAGGCCCAAGTTTCAAAAGTCCTTTGGCCCCCTTCAGAGTGAGGCCATCCCATATCTGTAAAGCACAGATTTAAGGACAGCCTTAAGTAGCCACTGGAGTCCTTGTGTGTATGATCTCTGGAGATGTTCTCTTTGGATGAACAAACTGGTCTTACTTCCCCGTCATCTATGTAGTTACTGGTAACTTTACACAGGACCTGTCTGTAGCAGGCTTTCTTCTGGGCTACCAACCAGCTCCCAAACCATGACATGGGAACTTATTAGTTATGAGTGCTCGGCCTTATCTTATGCTTGTTTCTTGCTAGCTTTTGTAACTTAACCTGCTTCTCTTCATCTACATTTTGCCTCAGAGCTTTTTACCTTTCTTTCCTTCTGTGTCCTATATGTCTAGCTGGTTGGCAGCTGCCTGACTGGCTGGCCCTGGTGTCTCCCTCTCTTCCTCTCTCAACCTAGACTCTTCCCCCAACTTATTCTCTCTGCCCACCAACCCTGCCTATCTCTCTACTGCCTAGCTATTGGCTGTTCAGCTTTATTAGACCAATCAGGTGCCTTAGGCAGGCAAGGCAAAACAGCAACACTTCTTTACATAATTCAACAAATGCAACATAAACAAATGCAACACACATTTACATAGCTAAGGTACTCTTCCCAACACCTGTCCTTGCCACCCTCCTAGGTCCGCCTTTCCTGCAGCTGTTAGGTTGCTGTTCCACTGCATATTGTCAACACTCATGCAATTATTAGCCACTACATAGTCTACTAGAGCTTGTAGGTTCTTTCATTGCCTCTTTGAAATGCATTTAATCTGTTGTAGCCACTCCATCCTGTGTTTAACTGCCATGAAACCAGTAATCAAAAAGCGAATTAAGGAAGTAGCACCAGTGAAAATGGCTGAATAGAAAACCATGGAAGCTTGTGTCTCCTCAAAAGCAGCACACAGACTGGTGAATGGTACCAAAACTAATTGCGTTGAGATTCTGGAAATGAATCAAAGGTATGTCACAACCAGTTGACCACTTAAAGAAGGACAAAGAAGATTCTCAATCTTGACAATAGAGGTGCATGGTGTTTTCATTTATCCCCAATATCTTGTCGCAACTTGGTGACAACATTGAAGACATCGGTTCAAACCCCCAGTACAGGTTTCTAATATTTAAGAGAAGATCACAGAACAATTCTTGAACTCAAATACTTGTTATTTGCTTTGATATTGTGGAGGCTTGAACATATTTGGTCCCCATAAGATCATAGGGAGTGGCGCTATTAGATGTGACCTTCTTGGTGGTAGTGTGGTCTTGTTGGAGGAGGCTGGAGGACACTGTGCCTTTAATCCAGCCCTTGAGGCTGGAGGGCACACCTTTAATCTGGGCCACACCTTCTGTGGAAAGTGTGTCACTGTGGGGCGGGCTTTGAGGTCCTGTTCTCAAGCTTCACTCAGTGTGATAGTCACTCCACTTGCTGTTGCCTGCAAGATGTAGGACTCTCAGCTCCAGCATCACATCTGCCCACATACCGCCATGTTCCCATCAGGATGTCATCAACCTCTGAAACCGTAAGGGAGTCACCCTCAATTAAATGTTTCCTTTGCCGTGTCCTGGTGTCTCTTCACAGCAACAGCAAAGCTTGCCTTTCTGTCACCAAGAGAGGAATTCTGTGGCTCCTGAGGTGGCATTTGTTCAATGCATTGCTAAGCAAATATATTAACCGCTATTGCCCAGTGCAAGAGATCACAGTGACAGACAAAAAAGCTGGAGAAGAAATGCTAGAGACTGATAACTCTATAAACGTCCACATTCCAGCCCTGGGTGAGTGTTCAGAAGAAACCTGAGCCATTCTCCCCCCTCTGCTTCATGTCAGTTCTGCTGTCAGCAAGGAGTGAACCCTGAGACAGAGTTAACTGCCCAGCTAATTGGGGAAGACGTGGCCCCTACAGGGTAGTTAAGACCCTCCCCTAGACTGACCATGTGATTTTCTCCTGCGCCCTTCTGCTGCCTTGATTTCTGGGGGCTGGAGGGTCACCTGGGAGCTGCTTTGCCCAGAGGGAACCTGGTCTTTGACTTTTTAACTCAGCTTGATCTGGCTTACTGCATCATTGGTGAAGGAACCTATTATCAGAATACAGAAAACCTGTTAGTCTGGACATTGCACTTGTCTAACTAAGGCAAGTCTTGTGGGGGAGGGGGAGGGAAAAGAATCCCTAATGATAATTTTCTACAAATGGATATACAAATTGAATGATACTCCTAACAAAAATTTTAAAATTTTTTTTCTGTAGAAAAACTGGCCTTGCATTCCCAGAGATCAGCCTGCTCTGTCCGCTCTGGGATCCAAGGTGCGCACCACGGTGCCTGGCTTCTCACAGGTGAAAGCAATCGAAGCACAGATGCTTTTCTAGCTTTAGAGCTGATCCCAAGTTTACAGCAATGAAGGGAAGGTGGGGTTGGCGCCAACACAGACAGAAGAGCCAACGAGAAGCAAGAGTTCAGGAGCAAACTCATGTACCCATGCTCAGTGACTTGACAAGAGTGGCCAGACCGTGCAATGGGGGCAGAACCCATTTCCTCAGCAAATGCTGATGAGTCAATTAGATATTCACGAGCAAAAGAACGAAATCACATCGTTACCTCCCATCTTATACAAATACTAACTCAAAATGAGTCAAAGACCCGCTCGGAAGACTAAAACAGCAACGTTCTTAGAAATCAACTCAGGGCAACTCTAGCTAATCCTTGGATTTGGCAATAGATTTTTATTTTCGGTATGAAACCAAATACAGTCAACAAATAGAAAAATGAATAGATCAGACTCCATCAAATGAAAAAGTTTTGCACACACAGCCCCCAAAACCAAGAATGTGGAAAACAACATAGAACGCATCAAAATATTTTCAAACTACGTATCTTACAGAAGTCAGTTTTTCGGATACATGAGTGCACTTTAACATCTGTGAGACGAATAACCATACCAAACTGGCAAATGACTCAAACAGACACTTTCCCAAAGAAGACATAAAAATGATAATGAAGCCCTTGACAAGATGCTCAGAGTCCTCAGTCAATAAGGACGTATAACACAAACACCATGGGACAACACGTTCCGCCTACTAAGATGGCTATCACGACAATCCATACAATACAATTGATAGTGTGGGTGAGGAGATGGGAAACTAATAATCTTCACATGTTGGGACAGATATGTAAAATGCCCAGATACTGTGGAAAGCAGTTTGGCTTACGTAATACTAGAATCCAGTAGTTGGAAGTCTCATCCGTTCTGATATGGCCCCAAAGACCTGGTCTATGTTGAAGTCCAAAGAAGTTTGGTTCTAATAGCAATCAAAAAACAGAGCAGTGACAGCAACAGGATGGATGAACTTGCCAGCATGAGTGAAGACAAGCAGAAAAAAAAAACAAACAAAATGTCTGTATTTCCATCTCCTTTTTGTCTGAATTGCCACCAGAAGATGCCATCAACACTTACAGCAGGTCCGCCTCAAACAATTGGATGAAAAGGAGCCTTGGCTGGAGTGCCCAGCAGCTGGCCTTTTCGTCGACTCCAGAGCCAGTCAAGTGGACAGTAGAGATTAACCGTTGTAATAGTTATCAATATAAATCGTGTGAGATACATAGATGATACCAAGGAGAGGAAGCAGTTGGGCTGACCCAGAGGGCAGGATCCTGATAAGTGGGTAAAATTCGAACAGCTAGGCAGTGGGATAGGAGGAGGAATTCTATGCTTGGAGATCTAGCACACAAGGGAGGGAATATTCCAGAACATTAGGAGACCTGCTATGTTAGATCTCTTTGAAGGCTAACATGCAACTAATGAAAGGTTCAAATTAAGCTAAGACAACCAATAGTATCAGCAAACAGAGAGCCTTTCCCGCTCTGAGACTCATTGTCTCGTATTATTTATTTTCCCTTCAAAGCATCTCTGTGCGACCTGTCGCTGCCATCTAAACTAAGGTCTATCCTGCTATGTTTTGTCTTTGCTATGAGCCTGCCCTTGTGGTGTCTGGTTCTGTTCAGAAGCTGTCTTTAACAGGTAGTTGTTGTCTTTTCTTCCACCCTACTGCTTCCAGTAACATCCTTCAGGGACCATGAGAAACAATTCCACTTCTCCTTCTGTTTATATTCTGAGGATGCTTATGGAGTTTCCACATTCCCTCTGCTTTGAGCCCAGCCAAGGTATACATGCTTAATACCTTTAATCTCTCCCCCTAAGTCACTCCCTCTGGTCCCTTAATCATCTTAATTGCTCCTCTCCGAAAGGCAGCCAGCTCATTATGTGTATCTTCCTTGGGAGGCAATGAGGAACATAGTATTCCCCTTGTGGTCTCACTGGGCTCATATATTACCTCCCAGTTTCATCATCCATGGCTGGACATGAGCGGGCCCCACCCCACTGCCCTCCCTCTCCCTACAGTGCACCCCGGCCCCTGCAAATCCCTTATTTCGCCAGGTTATCTCTGGTTTTCCAGGTGGCCTGCTCTGAAGCTTGGAACCCACGCTGGCCACAGGCTGTTCCCATCCCTGGGGGGGGGGGGGGGGAGCGGGAGCCACTTACTGAAGAAGGTGGCTCAGGACCAGCCTGAGAGTCTGGAGAATTGCAACTAAGCTTGTGTAAGTCAACCTTGGAAGGGGAGAGGCTGCGGAGTGCCCAGAATTAGGCTGCTGAGTGCCATAAGCGCTGTGGCCTGCTGGGCTGTGTGAGCGAGCGTTCAGGACACAACTCCGGGGCTCCAGCTCTGCTTCTAATTATCCTGTGTATCTCCCCTCGAACTCTGCTTCTTACCTAAGTGTTTTCAGAGCTCTCAGCCGGCACTGCGTCGCTTTATGAGGATAAATGTGAAGCCAAACAAATGATAAATATCCTGTTTCAAGATGTGTTATCGCCCTGTGGATGGAAAGCCCCAGAAGCCTGAGACTTTGAAAGCGCTGGTCTTGTTTTTTTTTTTTTTTTCTTTCTAAAGCTTTGAAAAGGAACACACACACACACACACACACACACACACACACACACACACACACGACTTTCCCATTCTAAGGCATAGTGGCAGAGGTCAAACTGCCTTTGAGGAAGCCAAATGTTTGGGTTTCCACAGAAGGGTGACTTGGAAACCCACATGAAGCTTCCATGGGTGTCTGAGAGGAAATAGCACCCCTGGACGTGGGACGCCGAAGAAGACATGGTTCAAAACCTTCCTCTAACTCCAGTTTTCAGGGGATCCAACGTCGTCTGAGCTGCATAGTGCAGAGAGAGAGAGAGAGACAGACAGACAGACACACACACACAGAGAGAGAGAGAGAGAGAGAGAGAGAGAGAGAGAGAGAGAGAGAGAGAGAGAGAGAATAAGCAAATCTAAATAAACATCTTTAAAAAGAGCTTTAAAGAAATTCCAGGAGTTTGTTCCCATGGTGAGGGGTAGAACCGACAGATGGAGACGAAAGAGTGGGGGAAGGAGGGATAGAGAGAGCGAGGGAGGGAGGGAGGGAGAGAGAGAGGAGAGAAGCCAAGTAGGAAGAGGCCTCATGCCTGCTATACAGGAATCTTGTACAGCCCGGCTCTGCTCCGCATTTTATTAAAGCCTTGAGAAGCCTCAGCGCGATGGCTTGGTGGAGGCAAGACCACAGGGCAGGAAAGTCCCGCTAGGGTTCTTAAGGACCGTGCCCTGGGTGAAGCGTCTCGTTCCTTCCGACCTTCCAGGCCCAGCCCTTCACTCACGCGTACACTTCGGCCCAGGAAAACTACAGAGCAAAGAGTTTTCTTCTGGAGGAAGAGAATCGTGGGGATGAGGAGGGAAGCAAAGAGAGCGGGAGGAACTGGGGGTGGGGGGAAGAAGGAGCTGCAGAGAGAACCTGTAGGAAGAACAAGAGGGACCTAAGTCCGTCCGTCCGTCCGTCCGTCCGTCCATGTTGTCGTCATCTGCCCACCCTTTATCCCGCTTGCCTTCACCTTCCAGCCCCTCCAACATGGATCCTCTCTGCAGTAGGCCGAACTTGTGTGGAAGACTAGTCCACTTGTTGTTGCATCCTCTCCTGTCCCCTGGGTTTTTGGACCTTGAGAGCATCTGTTTAGGGATCCCAGGTCGTTGTGCTTCCGCAGCCACACCTTCTTCAGTGCCAGGATGCCAGAGAAGACTGAGAACTCCCAGTTCGATTTGAACATCAGATAAATATGGGTAATTTTGAGGACGAGTCTTCGTATGTCCCATTGATATGTCCCATTCGCCACTTTTTGCTTGAATTGTTAAATCTAAGCCCTTTTAATTCAATATTTTTTACTTCATTTCTGTCCAGCCAGAAAACGGGAAAGGAAAAAGTTCCCACGCCAGGGAGAACAGCCACATGGTCCACTCTCCTGTTTGATCCCCTCCAAACTTGGCACAGGTTCAGCTAAAGGCGAAATCTTCGAGTGATTTGGGGGACGCCTGATGGGAGAAGGAGGGTGCAATGATTTCAGATCACCTAAGCCAGCCATCGGAATTACCAGGGTGAGGTAAAGCAACAGCGCTCTCCTCTCCTCAAGGAATTTACAAGGCGTGCTGAGAGTTAAATAGTAATCGCCCGTTGTAAGCAGTGTTTCTTAAGTGGGGTTTACATTTGGGATTAATAGTAAACTCCTTAGGCCTTACTGACAGCAGAAAGCAGTCGCCCAAATAAACAACGTTTTGATCAGGACTCGGGACCAAACTGCGTCTTCCTAGCAAGGAGCGGTTCCCAACTCTGAAGTCATTTGTAATGTGCTGGGAAGACGCTTTCAAAAAAAAAAAAAAAAAAAGGATATCTTAGATTCCATAAAAGGAAAAACATTTCTCCCTTTTGAAGTAATAAATACCATTTGTAGCAGAACTCCTTCAGTGTGTGTTTCTGAATTATTTCCTGATAATGCTAGGCTTATGGTGGCTGGCTGTGGTGCCTACTGCCTAGTAAGGAAGAGCCTCGTGGAACAATGTGGGTGTGGGCTCCACTGTGCTCTTACACATTCTTCTTGGTACATAAAAACCAAGAATGCCTCCCACTGATTGGGTTACTGTAGACTTCATGGGATGGACTTTCAGGCAAAGCGGAAGGGCCCTCAGATAGTGTGCCACACCGTCTCCTGTTGCCCACTCCTCCTTAGCTTCTCCTGTGGAAGTTGTGGAAAAGGTTGAGCCTTCCCCACAGCACTTCGAGTAAAAATGTGGATATCCTAAGAAGCAGACACCAGGCTGTCTTCCCAGGTCTCAAGTCTTAAGGAAACCATCCCTCAGACAGGAACCCACAACACAGCCTTTGAAAATGGTATTCCACACTCGGAACCCTTTCTTACCTGGCATTTCCTCTTTCTCTGTGTCCCTTTTCTAAGCCCCAGACCTGTGGGCTGAGACCTGCCACTCTCGCCCGGTCACCTGGGGAATGACCTATTGGCACTTCTAATGGGCAGATTCTGTGCTAACACTCGGGGAGCCTCTCAGCTCATCTTCACACCTACGCATGGTCTTTATACGGTGGGTTCCCCCAATTTGTACACAGGAAAATCAGACGAACAGTAAAGGAACCGAGGTCCCCTGTAAGTAGATACTAGCTCCCAGGTAAAATCGTTTGTACAGGAGAAGACAGAGGGTGCGTTTGAGTTTCCTCCCCGCTTGCTACCTAAAGTGTCAATTATAATACATACCCTTCAGGATTGTTCTGCAGGATAAATGAGGAAGGCGGAGACAGTTTCCAGAATGGTCTATAGTGCTCAGTAGGAGATCAGACCACACTTGAGGAAGACAGGTGAGGACACACACCTCACAGAGGAGCGCTTGATATGACTAATGCCCAGCAGCTGGAAATAAAGTTGGAAGGGCAAAGGGACCAAGTCTGTTCAGGACTTGAAAACCTGAGGAGAGGGATTTGTGGAAAGGCATTAACGGCTTTGACAAAATACTTGGGAGTATTTTGTAGGGGCGGGAGAATCAGGAAGGTAAAAAGATAAAAATAAAATGATCCCTCCTCCCTAAGACAATGACATGCAATCCTAACTTGGATTTTATGTATTATGCAATATATTATGATCCAACTTCATAAAACACATATGCTCATACATGTGTAATATAACTTAGAATGCTCGTTACAATGATATTGTATGGTATGCCCCTCCTTTTCACTTCTTTGGCGAGCATTCTTTATCACTAAGCAATGACAGGAAAGGTTAGAGACGACAGCCTACGGACAAGCGGAAGTAGCATACCCGCTTAACCATCTCCCCATCACTGCCTACGGAAGCTTCACGCGTCCCCTGTCAGAAGAGATACTGTGACAAATATCCTCACAGAAGAAGCTTTCACTGCGTCTGCAAAGCTTATTTCCTTCAGATGAATTCCTGAAAGTGCCGACGCCTGGCCAAAGAGTCTGTCCTTTAAGGTCTTGATTCATGTCACCCAGTGTTTCCCAGACTGGTTGTATTTACGTATCAGAAAAAAAAAGTATATTCACACATACGTGGATGCAACAACAATTCCAGAAAAATAGGTCATTAATTTGAAAGAGAGCAAGAAGGAGTATATAGGAGGATTTGGAGGGAAGACATGGAGGGAGAAAATGATATAACTGCACGATAATATCAAAATTAAAAGAAATCGTAAGAATAAAGAAGATTCTAAGGAAATCAACCAAATGTACGCAAGATATTATATTTTACTATTGGCACTAGTGTTGTTTTAAGTGCTCTTCTGGGTAGAGGCTATAATAGTAAAGAGTCTGAACTCTGAACATTTTCGCTACAGCAGAGAGTATAGTTCGACAACACTAATAGACTAGCATATGTGATGTCTCTTTAAGAGAGGATGCTACACTGTTAGCCCTTGTCCATCCTACTTGCGGATACTTTTTCCTATGTGCCGTCTGACTTTTAAGTGTATTTTTAATTACATAATTAGGGGCTGGACAGATGTCTCAACAGTTAGGAGCAATTTTGTTATCCAGAGGACTCAGGTTTGATTCCCAGCACCCTCGAGGAGTTTACAACTCTGTAACTCTAGTTCTAAGGGCTCTGCTGTCCTCCTCTGGCCCCCATGGGCGGCAGGCACACACACTAATACTCAGAGACATAAAAAATAAAAACAAATACATGTACTTAAAAATGTTCCAGATTTGTCTTAAAGGTCACCATTGCTGTGTATCTATTGATTATGGCTGTAATTTTTAAGTTTCCTCTTATGAATTTAATGCTGTTTTATTTAGAGTGTAAATTCATCCTTGCTGATACTTGAAAAGAAATATAATTCTTTGACCCTTTGTGATTTTTTAAATTCTACTTTTCTTGGGGTTAGTATTGTCAACCTCATTTTGGTGAGGCTGACTGTGTAAAATTTGCCTAGGAAATCATTGGTCAAGGTTCAATTTTTTTTTAATATACTGGTTTTGCTTTGCATATAATTTTGTAATTCTTCTTACAACTCTAATTTAATCTTAATTCCATTAAATTGATCTTGCTTCTTATCATAGATCCTTGTATATAAAAGGACATATAAAGAATCCCATGAATTTTCTTATAATGTAACCAGCATTCAAAAGTCAAGAAAGAGCACAGTCCCAGCCAGCAACATGGAAATGCCTCTCATACCCTCTGCTGTCTGAGGTAAGTGCTATCCCAGCTGCTGTCATTGTCACCGTCAATGGCTTTACCTGGTTTATAACTGTGTGAGATATTATGGTTCCCTTCTCCCTTCCCCTCCCTCTTCCCTGCTCTTCTTCATTTGCTCCTCTTCCCCTTCTTTTTCTCCTTCTCCTCCTCCTTCTCCCACTTCTCCTCCTTCTTCAACTTCCTCTCTTTTTCCTCTGTAATCATGAAACAGAAAGAGATAGATCCAGATCTGGTGTTGGCCACCAGAATGGATGGTGTTTCCCTTGTCCTAGTCTCTTCTTAACTAAAGGGATTTCCCCCCTCAGGGTCATGGCTGGAATGAAGATGGGTGAGTATCAATACAGCCACTAAATGTTTAAATTCTTAGGCCTTTCTCTCCCAACCCTCTGATTCCTGCAAACTCAGAATATATGGTACATGAAAAACATAATTCCCAACACATATTGAGAATTAATTAGGACCCAGTCAATGTGTGAGACAGAGGAGAAAGAAATCACTACAGCTTATAAGAGACATTTATTTTTTCTCTCACATTAGAATCCAAAGACCAGGGCTGACTTGAAAGTTCCCCAAAATGTCCTTATAACCTAGGGTTTATCCATTTTTCTGCTTTTTGTGTGTAGATCGTGATCTATGTCCGCAGGATGGAAAACAATAGAATGCTGGGCAGTTGACTGGACAAGGTGCCTAGGGAAGGGTGAAGGGGAAAGGAGTCAATTGCTTTGCACCAGGACTTATGTGTCCTCTGCTTACATTCCAACAATCATAAGAAATTAATTGCTCTACCTGTACGTGAAGGAGCATAGTAAAGAAACTGTCAAAATGGCCAGTCCATTATTACGGGGAATGTTGTTTTATTGTTGGGTAAGAGAAAAATATATATACAGAGAGAAAAAGTAGACTGGTCATGGTGAGGGCTGGGGAAGCAGGAGAGCAGCAGAGAATGGTAGAGATGGGAAGAGATGTGGGACAGTGAGAATAGCCAAGGTATAAAGAGAGTGGGGATCTGAGGTGGGAAGGACCAGAAGGCTAGTGTGGGAGCTTTGAAATGTCTAACAAATGTGAGTGGATGGGGCCTGAGAAAGCTGGAGGCCAGCATGGGCTTTGACACGCAACCATAGCTACGGTCAGTAGAGAGCCAAAGGCAAGAGAAATGACTCCTTTTAGCAGATGAGGAACCCATTTCACAAATTCCTGAGGAATGCTGGTGCTGAAGGGAGGTCCCATGTAGGTTCCCAGCTGCCTGGCTAGCTTAGACCCGAAATAATCACAGAGAAACTGTATTAATTAAATCACTGCTTGGTCCATTAGCTCTAACTTTTTATTGGCTAAATCTTACATCTTAATTTAACCCATTTTCATTAATCTGTGTATCGCCATGTGGCAGTGGCTTACCAGCAAAGTTTCGGCATGTCTAAATCTGGTGGCAGCTTCATGGCTTCTCTTTGACTCCATTCTTCTTTTCTCACAGCATTCAGCCTAGCTTTTCCTGCCTACCTAAGTTCTGCCTTGCTATAGGTCCAAAGCACTTTCTTTATTCATTAACCAATAAAAGCAACACATAGACAGAAGGACCTCCCATACCATGCTGGCTTTTATCTACCTGCCACAGATACTTCTATAGTCCAGCTTGAGTTCATTTCTGGACATATATACTATCTGAGACCTGACCTTCTAGCCTCTTATTGATGATAAGGGTGATGTAGTTAGTCTCTCTCTTCTGTAACTGCTTCAAAGTTGAGTGGGGTCTTCCAAGGGCCCAGATAGGCTGGAATATTCCTCAGAGTCCAGGATGACGAGGGGATTTAGGCAACATCAGGAGACTTGGGAAATTCTGTCAGAAGCACCTGGTTCCATGACTGAATCTGAAGAGACAGGAAGTGGTTGGTCACATTGGCTGGACTGGTTTATATTGGCTTTGAGCCTGTACAGGGCTCATTGATTCTGCGGGACCCCCTGGGGTTAGTGAGGTGAACCCAGCTACAGAGCAGGGCCATAGCTGACTCCTGGATGATGTCTGTCATCTGGGTGGAAGTCTGCTGGGACAGATACAGACTAGGGGCAGAAGGTAAGGAGTTGAGGGAGCCCTTTATCTTGGGTGTACCCTTGAGACTTCCAGGCCTGTCTTGTGGTGCTGGTGGTTGGGGGGCATGGGAAGGAATCCCAAGACCAGGGGAAGAGCCCCACCCCCTCGGTGTTAGGCAATGTGTGGGGAGGCTTAAGCTGTTGGCTGACAGGAGCATTCGTCGGGCAGGGGATCCTGGAGGCCATTTAACCTGTGACAGATGAATCCAAGCTGTGACTCCCTGACGTGACATGATTTTTTTAAAGTTTACAAAAAGGGATAAAAGCGTTAGGTGTAGGGACGTGACTACTGTCTGCACTGAGATCTTCCTTACAGAAACCGCAGTGAACCAGTGTCTGTGAACAGCTGGAACAGACCCACGCCTTTGAGCCATAGCAAAACAAAGCCTGAAAAGTCATTAACATAACAGAAGCATAAACAGTCATTTGCAATAAGACAGAAATTTCTTGGCAGGAAAGAGAGCAAAGGGGAAGAAGAGTTGGAGGACTTAAAAGTTGGCTCTGGGCTAAAGGCATGCGCACTTTTCCCTCCGCCTAGAGGCCTGAGTATACATACATGGAAGCAACCGAAGGGAATTTAAAACTTCGGAACCTCTGATTAAAAGTTTGAGCTTGTGACTGAGAATAGTAGCCAGCGCTTTACCAAGGCTAGATTAATAGCTTATCAGAACTCTATTGATTAATACGTTACAAGTCTGAACTTTGAATTCAACATCATATATAATCTTGACTCTCATTTTCCTCACACCTTAAATCACTTTCTCAGACATGGACAACTTTTATAAACCTAAAACTTTTTTTTCTTTTTAAATCTGAAAACACCCAATCATTTACCAAACCAGACATGTCTCTTTTCCTGGCTATATGAGCAGTCATTGGAAGGCACAATTTACAATGAAGGAATAGTAACAGCTGCATGGTAGCTTGAGTTTGTTTTCACATGGAAACCTGTCTGTGAGTTTGTCTTTCTCGGTGTGAAGCCTGTCAGCAAGGTAAAAACCTCTAGGAAGAGGAAGGCCTGATTTTTACATATGAAACCAATCCAGGCTGGCAAGTAATTGCGTCTCAGCTTCAAAGTCGTTTCATTTTAAGAGACTCAAGTCATTCAGACTTTAAAGTTTTAAATGTTGTGTCTTTAGCAAGTAACATCTCCACCTTTTGCACCCAAAGTGGCTGTAAACCCAGAATGTTTTAGTTATGAATGCACTGGCCAGGCAGTGCAGTCTAGGTGGGAGGGGCTGAATGAGTGAGGTCTGCTAGAGGCTGCTGAACTTTCTGATAAAGCTAGGGCTTGCCAGCAGTGCCACCAGAGAGATCAGAGAAGTATAAGCCAAGTAGAATCTCTATCACTTAAAATAACAGAGATTAATACTAGGCGTGGTGGCACACACCTTTAATTCCAGCACTCGGGAGGCAGAGGCATCTGATCTTCGTGAGTTCGAAGCCAGACTGGTCAACAGAGTGAGTTCCAGGAAGGCCAGGGATATTACACAGGCAAACCCTGTCATGAAAAACAATCAATCAATCAATCAACCAATCAATTAATCAATACGAGAAACTTACCCACTACCTGGACAGCCAGTCTGCGTTCCTCCATGGTGATGGAGATGATTTTGTTGTCCGCAGAAGTTTTCAGACTTCAGCTGCCATACAGGGCAGCATTCCAATCAAAAAGATCTGAGAGATTTTTCTGTTGAGGAGGAACCTGGGAGCCTGGCCCACCTCTAGGTAAGACAGTGTGGAGCAGTCACCCCAGCAGTGTCTACAGTCTGGGCAAGGCCCTAGTGGCAGGCAAGGCCTGGGGCAGTTCTTTGCCCAGTAGTCAAGTGATCACACTCGAAGAAGCTCCAGGTGAAGTCCATCTTCCTTGGAGACAGCGCCAGCCGCTGCTACCAACTCTCAGGGGAAGCCTTTTTCATTCAATACCCCAAATGCCATATTCGGCAGACAGATATCTCTGAGAGGTTTGATGTCCATCATCTAATCTATTACGAATATCTGATCTTAAACCAAGTTTACTTGTTTTTAGTTATTTGCTTCAGGCTTAACCTTGACAACGTACACAGAAGGCTAAAGGTTATCCCTGTAAATTAGTTGCACTCGTACTTAGCCTGACAACAAGCATCATTCTGAGCACATTAAAGAATTTGATCATTTGTACTGGGCAGTGGTGGCTCACACCTTTAATCCCAGCACTTGGGAGGCAGAGGCAGGTGGATCTCCATGAGTTAAAGGCCAGCCTGGTCTACAACAGAACTAGCTCCAGGACACAGAGAAATCCTGTCTTGAAAAACAGAAACAGAAACAAGAATTTGATCCTTTATAAGGAGACTGACCATTAACTTGCATGTCTTCATTATTATTATTATTTATCTTCTCTCTTCTTCTTCTTCTTTTTTTTTTTTCTTTTTGGTTTCTTGAGACAGGGTTTCTCTGTAGCTTTGGAGCCTGTCCTGGAACTCGCTCTTGTAGACCAGACTGGCCTCAAACTCACAGAGATCCACCTGCCTCTGCCTCCCGAGTGCTGGGATTAAAGGAGTGCACCACCACTGCTCAACCTAATTATTTTTGGGGGGAGGGTCTTAATTATCTTTAACAGTTTACAAGTTAGTAACTTTTATAAAACTGAGGTTTTACAGTTTTATCACTATCAAGTTTGAGCCTTAAAATTTTGAAGATCCTTTAGCATCAAAAATAAAACTTTAAATAATATATATAGTTCACAGAGAAACTGAGAACCTTGTTTTTCTGATCCTTTCATAGTGCACCTTTACAGAATATCACAATTTTTTTTTGTGTCCAAATAGCTAAAACTTAACAAAGTTATAAAAGACAAAAAGGCTAGACATACATCTTTAAATTAGTTTTTGTGAGCTTGAATGGACCTAAGGAATTCATAAACCTTATTTATCAACTATATATTGTTCCTGTTCTAAAATTTTGAAGAAGCCTGGTGTTGAACACAGTAAAGACAAAAATGGGCAGGCATATATCTCTAAGTCAGTTTTTGTTAACCTGAGAAGACCTCTACAACCTTAGGAATTTATCAATCTTTTTGTTTGCCTGCTTTATTTTTTCAAGACAGGGTTTCTTTGTGTAGCCTTGGCTGTCCTAGAGCTTGCTCTGTAGACCAAGTTGGCCAAAAAAAAAAATCACAGAGATCTGCCCGCCTCTGTCTCCTGAGTGCTGGGGTTAAAGGTGTGCACTACCATGACCTGGTTAGGACTTTATAAATCTTAACCAGCAAACATATGTTGTTAGTAAGTCATATTTCCATAAGCAAGGATTGAATCCACATTACATATAAGCATATTGTAGCAAATTAAGATTACCTATTATAGAGTTTTTTTTTCAACTATCAAACCTTCTGTTAGAACATTTTATTACAGATTTTACAGATCTTTTAAACCACACCCAGTGAATTTACAAATCCCGAGAATACAGAAAGTTTATACAATGGTCTTACAAATTCTGAGATAAAAGAAAGTTTATATTTTAGCAACGGTTCTTAGGGATTATGAGGGGGTATTTAGAGAATTAAACACCCGTGATTATACTTTGTCATTTTTAAAGACAGTAAAACAAACCTAGAAGAGGAGTAGGAGATAAGCCGGAGTAATCCCTACTGGGAATGGTTTACTGTTCAGCTGGTCTTGAGCATGCAGTCTCTTTTCCCGGGCTCTTCTGTTTTGCTCTCTCTTCCCTCTCACCATCAGGTGCCCTGCCTGACTCAGAGCGGATTCTTTGGAGGAAACTTTTAACAGGCTTGAGTCTGGAGAGGGAAGGCCACATTTCCCAGAATCCGCCTTTTTCATAAAGTAGAATAACATGTGATGATTTTTAATATTATCCATATCCAAGAGACATTTGAATCTCTATAAAGGTGAATTTAGTGATCAGGGGGAGAGACTAGAGCGAGGAGAGAAAGGAGACTCGTAGATAAGACAAGAGCAGGAAGTAAAGAAGGCTGTGAGGGTTTGGAAATCAGGTGCGCCCTTTTTCTGGTCCCTGAGACTGATGGTCTAGTTTCTACAGAGGCTGAGTTGTTCGTAGTGAGACAACAGGATTTTAATGAAGTCTCTGAGTCTGAGGAGGAAAGAGATTCAAGAAAGGAGGCCAGTAGTCTAGTCAGAGCCCATGGAGTTCAGGCTCCAGTGGGCAAGCAAGGAAGACAGAGGGGTCCCAGGAGCGGAGTGAGAGACAACTAGGAAGGGAGCCAGGAACAGAGCAAGGGTGAGATGGGAGAGATTTAGAAGGGTCACACACAGCAGCTCCAACAGAGGAAAGTTTCCAATAATGTCAGGGGAGACAGAGAAAGCTCCAGGAGAGAGCTGAGGGCAGGTTGGGGAAGATCGTACATGTAATATGGTGGTCTCTGTTCTAAGAAGCCATCATCCACCTAAATGCTCTAACTGTAGAATGCCAGGTTAGCTATGAGAGGGCAGGATAGCGTCTCTGCCACATCAGTATCAGAGGTCCTTGTTTTCATCCTGCGTCATGGCAGGAATGATCTCTATAGCCCCTTTCCTAAACTCCCCATCCTGTTACATCAAGGTGGCATGCTATAACATGACATAGGTCCTGAGAGGATGTAGAAGAAGCCTTATGAGGACATATGGTAGGACCGCAGTGTGCTAATCCAAAAAGTAGAACCAGTTGGTACAATAAGAACAGCCCACCTTTTAAAGGCATGCATGTGAATGTTTGGCCATGAGGAGGAAGTGGAAAGAAATAGCAGTCTCTTCGGTTTATTCCATTTTAATTAGGGAAAATATGTCAATTTTTCATAGTACTTCTCAATTCAATCTCACATGTTTTCTCTTCTGTAGAATTCCTTCCCATATTTTAGAAAGATGCTTTTTATGTTTTTTGTTAATAGATGTTTTGGCCCACAGAAGAGAATGTCTTCCCGTATTTTAGAAAGTTGCTCTTCTATTTTTTGTTAATGGATATTTTAGCCCATAGAAGGAATTACACTAGAAATTGTTAATCAAACCTCTAGGTAATTGATTAATTTTTGACCAGAAGTTGAGGGGCTTAGAGTCATGCTTTAAAAGGATGACTTTGTGGAGTATGTTAGAGGCATGGGAGCCTTGAAACCATGACTCTCTACACTTAAGATCATGAGACCAAGAGACCATGAGCATACTCAGAGTCTGGAGACATTAGGAATGGCCTGGACAGCATTGTCTGCAAAGCAGTTTCCCCAAAGGAAACACTGAGTGTGCGTACAATGTTGGACGTCGTAGGGGAAAGGGAGAGAAACTAATCTACTTTAATGAGTTTTGTTCTGGGAGATTGAAATAATGCTATTACCACTGCAGGAATAAGAAACTAACAGGAGGAACTATGACTTATATGAAAATTTTAATTTGGAATGGGATGAATTGAAGAGAAGAACCTGTAGAGAAGAAAACTGGAGTTTTCCTCAACAACCACATAATTTTACACCTGGCTTCTTATCTTTAAGATGAGGAGTTTGTCCACAGTGGACTAAGGTTTTCTGAGGCTACAGCGATGGAGAGAAGCTGAAAAGAATAAAAGGGCCAGGATAGGTTGAAATACTGGAAGTCTTCAAATGAAGGTGACAGATGGAAGATTCGAGTCCACTGGAGTGGCCATGGACCATGAAGACAGTCAAACCATTAGACAATGGCTTATCTAACCCGGATGTCAGCTGTGGACACTCTGTCTTTTGAGTGTCATAGAAAAGCAGTTCACTCTCTTCCTCTCAGAGAGCAGAAAGCTTAGCACTCCTCTCAAGATACCAGGCTTCTGAGGAGTCCTCTTTTTGTTATCATTGTCTCTGTCTCTCATTTCGTGACTCTTCTGATCCTTCCATCTGTCTCGCACCTTGGATTTTACCTACCCTGGCTATATCCCCCTTCTTCCCCCACATTTAATTAAGCATGTGCTGAAGATTCAATGACGATATGAATAGGGGAGAGCACTTCATCATAGCTAACATGCCTCGGAGATACTTCAAAATGGAAAGTTAAAATCACCATTCTTCCCAGGTCATTATTTTATCATTTATTTATTGCATCTTGGTTGGTTCAGACATTCTCCATCTCCCTCTCAATCTCATATCCATGACCGTGGAACCCTCGCGGGTTGCTTTTCCATTCTGACTCCTGGGGTCTTAGCTAAACCCAGTGGATTTTCCCCATAGAACATAACCTGTTAAGATCATGTTCCCAACTAAGTGCAGGGCTGAGGCGAGTGATGAAGGAACTGTTTAAGAGAAGGAACTAAGTTACTTCAGGAAGGTAAGTTCCTGAATAAGTTTTTGAAGACCTTCCAAGGCAATGCGCTTATACAGCCATTGAAACGTTGAACCTTTATTATAATTTCTCAGGTGCCGAGTTAATGAGGTAACCTGCATTTAGATGCTCATCTCCTGAAAACAAAATGGCCAGAGTAATGCTTTCATCTTCCCATCATGCCTCTCTTCCCAGTCAGATCCGATATGTTACTTTAGGTCAAATTTTTGCTCAAAGAG